TAAACTGTTGGAATAAAACATGTGACTTTTGATAAGGGTTAGGGAGCTTTTCAGAAACTTCATTACACTGTTGGAATAAAACATGTGACTTTTTATAATGGTTAGGGAGCTTTTCCCAAACTTCGTTACACTGTTGGAATAAAACATGTGACTTTTGATAAGGGTTAGGGAGCTTTTCCCAAACTTCATTAACTGTTGGAATAAAACATGTGACTTTTGATAAGGGTTAGGGAGCTTTTCCCAAACTTCATTAACTGTTGGAATAAAACATGTGACTTTTGATAAGGGTTAGGGAGCTTTTCACAAACTTCATTACACTGTTGGAATAAAATATGTGACTTTTTATAAGGGTTAGGGAGTTTCCCACAAACTTCATTACACTGTTGGAATAAAATATGTGACGTTTGATAAGGGTTAGGGAGCTTCTCACAAACTTCATTAAACTGTTGGAATAAAACATTTGACGTTTGATAAGGGTTAGGGAGCTTTTCACAAACTTCGTTAAACTGTTGGGATAAAATATGTGACTTTTGATAAGGGTTAGGGAGCTTTTCCCAAACTTCGTTACATTGTTGGAATAAAACATGTGACTTTTGATAAGGGTTAGGGAGCTTCTCACAAACTTCATTAAATTGTTGGAATAAAACATGTGACTTTTGATAAGGGTTAGGGAGCTTTTCACAAACTTCATTAAACTGTTGGAATAAAACATGTGACTTTTGATAAGGGTTAGGGAGCTTTTCACAAACTTCATTAAACTGTTGGAATAAAACATGTGACTTTTGATAAGGGTTAGGGAGCTTTTCACAAACTTCATTACACTGTTGGAATAAAATGTATGACGTTTGATAAGGGATAGGGAGCTTTTCACAAACTTCATTAAACTGTTGGAATAAAATATGTGACGTTTGATAATGGTAAGGGAGCTTTTCACAAACTTCGTTAAACTGTTGGAATAAAATATGTGACTTTTGATAAGGGTTAGAGAGCTTTTCACAAACTTCGTTACACTGTTAGAATAAAACATGTGACGTTTGATAAGGGTTAGGGAGCTTTTCACAAACTTCGTTACACTGTTGGAATAAAATATGTGACTTTTGATAAGGGTTAGAGAGCTTTTCACAAACTTCATTACACTGTTGGAATAAAATGTGTGACGTTTGATAAGGGTTAGGGAGCTTTTCACAAAGTTCATTACACTGTTGGAATAAAATATGTGACTTTTGACAACACATAACATTTACAGTAATTTTTATTTAAATTCCACACTTACAATTTACATTACACTATATTTAAACTCCACACTTACCATTTACATTAAACTATATTTAAACTCCACACTTACCATTTACATTACACTATATTTAAACTCCACACTTACCATTTACATTACACTATATTTAAACTCCACACTTACCATTTACATTACACTATATTTAAATTCCACACTTACAATTTACATTACACTATATTTAAACTCCACACTTACAATTTACATTACACTATATTTAAACTCCACACTTACAATTTACATTACACTATATTTAAACTCCACGCTTACCATTTACATTACACTATATTTAAGCTCCACACTTACAATTTACATTACACTATATTCAAACTCCACACTTACCATTTACATTACACTATATTTAAACTCCACACTTACAATTTACATTACACTATATTTAAACTCCACACTTACAATTTACATTACACTATATTTAAACTCCACACTTACAATTTACATTACACTATAATTCACACTAACTTTTGTTCAAACTCCACACTTACAATTTACATTACACCTATAATTCACACTAACTTTTGTTCAAACTCCATCTGCAATTTACACTAACTTGTATTGCTATAATATCGCTATTGTTGCTCTGGAGTATTCACTTATTACTAAGTATAGCTATTGTTGCTCTAGAGTATTCACTTATTACTAAGTATGGCTATTGTTGCTCTGGAGTATTCACTTATTACTAAGTATGGCTATTGTTGCTCTAGAGTATTCACTTATTTCTAAGTATGA